AGAACAGGATCAAATGCATCAAAATTATACTATGAGAGCCTTGAGATCGTGTGGAATCGATTTTATTTTTATCGTTAATTTTTTATTAAAGTTCTTTTGAATTATTATTCACTTCCTAAATTTAATATATATTCTTCCAATAAAACATTTCAATTCGTAATTTTTATAATTATTAATTTAAATATAAATAAAATTGATGAATTTAACTGAAAATATGCGAAGATTGTTGATAAATTTTGTACAGACAACAAAACAGTTTCATTTAATTTATCTGCAGATACTGATGAGACGTGTTATGACGAAATTTAGAAAATACTGTTTAAAATATTCAGTTTTTACAACTGTTGTTTTGAAATGTTTCCCGTATTTGCATTAATTTATCATTTACTAATAACGGAAAAGTTTTATGGTTTCATAAATGTGTGAGCTCATTGCAAATTACTCTGCACTCCTTTAACAGCATAACTTGTGAAATTGTAATATCAGATAGCCGAGATGGTAAAGGATCAGCATGTTACTCTGAGGTTCCGGATTAATGTCCTGTTCAACAACCTCGAAAAGTTTTTGGGAGGTTTGCTTCAAACACTTCAAGCTTCGTCCCTTAACAGTTGGCTGTCTCCATTGTTGATCAGGTTGAATTCAGGGTTGAATATGATTTTAAAACGTTTCTCTTACTGCCTTTAAAATACAATGGAATGAATAACAAAAAATTATTCGTTAGTAAGAATGACTGATACGCAATAATGTTAAATTACAAAACTTTTTGAATGATGATTACGCAAAATATTCTGTATGTATAACGAAAACATTTAAAAATAACTAAATAATTCCAGAGTTTTCTTCCGTATAAAAGCTTTATTTTGGTGCGTATAATAATTTATCTAATCTTCAACTATTCTTCTTTCAACGAAGAACATTATCTGTCATTTTGTTTATTCTAAGATGTTTACGTCAATGAGAACTTTATATTAACGTTCGAATGTAGAAGCGACTCTAATCGTTAAAAAATGAAGAAAATTATTAATTTTTGTAAGTAAAACATTTCAAATAATTTTTGGAATGTAAATTATTACATTTTAATTAAATTTTAAGAATAATTTTTATAACTGTTGTTATTTATATTTGTCATGCTTTTTAGAATAGGCATAAATTTAAACCTTTTAATCGAGAAAAATTAATTTATTTCAAATAACTCTCCGTAAATATTGTATATTATAATAAATTTTAATAAACAATTCATTAACACACTTATTTTACCTTATAATCTATGTTTTACTATTAGATTTAATTAATAGAAAGTACTTATATTATTATTATAATTGTTAAAGTTCTAAAATTAATATTAAATTGTTTAGTTTATAATTTACTAAACATTCTACTGAATAACCTTGACAGCATATTGCTAAATAAAAAAGAAATTTAAAAGTTTAAATAGCTACGTAATCTTAATAAATATTTATACTTAATTTATAATATCACGTTATTTAGCACATAATATTACATGTGCTAAATAATATGATATATATGAAATAAAATAAAATAAAACTTGTTGCAATTCTTATTAAAATTCATATTTCATTAATGATTAATAAAATAGACATTTAAAATATTAATGACAACATAAATCAATGGATTTACATTTATCAAGAGTTTATAAATGAGAATAATGTTATACGAAATATTATAATTAAGTTATAATAAAAAATTGTTTTTACTAAATAAATAATAAGTTTTTCTTTAGGTTTTCTAATCTCAAAAGTTAATTATAGGATTTAAATGCATCAATATATTACAAGGAAAAATAAAAGTTATCATCTTTATGTAAATTAGAAACTTAACCTGTTGTCTTTTAATTAGACGACCTACTTGTGTTGGGGAAGAGTTTATTGTTAATGTTAATTAAGATGTGAAGGAAAATTAATTTCGCTCAGCGCATAGCATTTAAAATAAGTAGAAATGTCCACTGTAATTTATTTAATCGTAACATATTCAGTATTAGTTATCATCTAACCGACAAACAACCTATTGTTTGATATGTCAAAGATTCGAATGTCTTTAGGAAAATCCATTTAAGAACACAAACATTAATTTATTTCTACGTACAATACAGTTCGTTTATATTTTTAACTTGCTCCCGACATTATCAAATACAGTACAATAAATTAATTTACTCTATGTATGTAAAGTATTAGAAAAATAAATTAGTCAATTAATCTTTATTGTAATTAGTAGTATTCGAAAAAAAAAACAAATGAAACGTCTAAATGTTAAAGATTCATAGAATTAGAAAATCATTTTTAATGATTTATACGCGGAAAGTTTAATTATAATAAATAATAACTTATTTGTTTTTTTTTAATCTTGTAATCAATAATGATTGATAGACTTTTAGAATTTGTACTTCGGTGTGGAATTACTCGAAATAATTCTCGCTAATTCTATTATTACTCTTGTTTTATCTTTATAAATTAATGTCAAACGTATTTTACTTGTTAAACAATAAACAACAAACTTTGCTCAACTTACAGTGGGGTTCTGATTTAATGGACTAATTGAGAGAAAGGAGCGTAGCTATTACAAANACACACACACACACACACAGACAAGTTTATCCTATGGCGATTAATTCGGATTCCTTAATGGATGATAATTGAAGGGACGGCTTTCCTCTCCGAGGACTAAGGCAGCGACTAACTCCTGTCGGCCGTCTCTGATGATACTCACGGACGATTTCGGCCGTGCAGAGGTTAATAGTTCACGAGAAAGCGTCATGTTGCTTTCGAGAAAATGTAACGGGAGACTTTCTCAGGTAGCTAAGAACAACAATTGTTGCGTAATTCGCGAAACGTTATTATTAAAGACTATTTCAAATATAAGAATTTCTGCTATCTCACAATACAATGCATAAATCAGATACATGCCGAACTCAAGATAGCATAAAATATGTGTATTGTATTTAGTATCTGATAATTCTGATTTTTTTATGCATAAAATTGTGTCTTTCAAATGTGAAGCACAAATTTTATTTTATGCAAAATTATGATATAAAATAATTTTTACGTAAAAATATATAAATAAAAGTATGCACTAATGTATCTTATACAAAATGATATAAAAATATGCAAATATAATTATAGAAATACTATGAAAAATATGAATAAAATATGGATGAAAACTTAATTAAATTTATAAGGAAATGAATTTAAATAGCATATTTAGTTCCTGATCAAAATATTTATATTTTGATTAAAATATAGGCCCTATATATTTCTTATTATAATATTTACATATTAAATCAACAATTAAAATATTTCTTAATTTTAAAATATTTTTGACTGATTGCTTCATATAGTTTATCCATTTGCAGTAACATATATTAATACATTAAATATTTTTTTAAAGATAAATGTGAAAGATAAAAGTTTCTAAATGTTTATAGAAAAGAAGGTATTTCAGATATGTTTGACAAAAAGTATAGAGTTTTAAATATGTTTACAGATAGTTATAAATAATTGATTTTATAAAACAAACCATCTGCTATGATATTTTATTTTAAAAACCTTTTATATTATTAATTATTATTAAATAGCAAAAAGCTAAATTTTGACGGTAGAGATAAGTTTTATAAAAATACTGTAAATGCTAATAACAAGTAAAATCTTCATTAAGTCCGACTTAACTTTAGATATGACACATGACTCTCTATCTTCCCACCCCTCAACCACCAAAATATAATAGTATCAATCCCCCAATACACAATTTTCCCTGGAAAACATTCAGGAATTTTCGACAAAACGCACAGGAGTCATTAAGGTTTCAAAATGGGTGAACAAAATCATGCCACTAATCACCCACCCACACACACATACACATAGACACACACATTAACATCCATACATACAGGAAAGAGATTTTTTTTGCATTTCTCGACAATTCAAGATCTCCTGAATCCAAAAATGTAAAAATTGTGAATTTTTGATTATTGCGACATCCAGAACAAAATGGCACGATCAGGCAAAGTAAGTACCATGACTGTTAACCTGTCGAAGAATTGTGAAGAATGTTTTGTAATTCATTTTAACATTTGTTAGAAACCGTACTTAATACTCAAATTACGGAGACGACAGTGCCAAATTTTCCCTAACGGCTGAATTTTGAAGTAAACTTTTCCGAAAATCAAAACTGCATACTCAGGATACTACGTACACAGAAATTTGGTTGAGATTTGCTTAGCAGTTCTTCCTGCAGAGAGCTGTGAACACCTTTAATTATGATCTCCTTGTTTATAATCTTTCATTTCATTTTATTCTTGTTTTATATTTTATTAACTGAATATCACTTGTTTATCTACAAACTATTCGTACATTCACTTCATTGTTTATTTATCATTTTAAGCACTTCCGTCGCTAATAATTTATTTATCAGAATTTTTAAATTTTACCTACCTAATACAAATTTAAATCTTTCAAAACAGTTGATAACTTAAAAAGTGTATTAAAAATTATTTTATTTAAATGAATACCATTATAACATCCGCACAGATATATTTTCTTTAATATTTCAATGTTTATTAACTTTCTGATAAATTAATCAATAATGTAAGTTAAATTTTTATTTGTAAAAAGTCATATTATCAATAGAAGCAATTTTAGACGAATCGACTAACATTTTAGAAAAACGCTCTATAAATGTTCTTTATTGCAAATTACTGTAAAATTATAAATACAGTAATTTTATGATAATTATAAAAATATATTAAAATATTTTTAATTTATATTTGCTCTTTTATGATAGTTATATAGATATATATTAAGTGATGATATCAGGTTTTTTTTACCATGCAAGCTTAAAAAATCAGATTTCAAAAAGTAAAGTTCACATGTAACACAGCATTCTCTGATAACTTCTTATCTAAATTGCAACATGAAGTTACTCCTCTGATAATAATAGATAAATGTTCGATTCAATTTGTATATTTAAAAAGATTTATTTTGTTACAGAATGCGAACATGAATAAACATGAAAGGTACGCTAACGTATTCACAGTAAGAGAAGACGAGAATGTAACAAAATGCGGATTTGGAAACTGGAAGCCTGACTGGTTGCAACGTTTTGCTAATCCAAAAACATTTTTAGCGATATTCTGTATAGTAGGAATATGCCAGGCTGCGTATTTTGCATACGTAGCAGGGATACTGTCTACAATCGAAAAGAGATACGCATTCGAAAGCAAAATAACTGGTGTAATATTAATCGCAGATAACATAAGTCCTCTCATTACCAGCATCATAATAGGATATTACGGTGGAAATGCCAATAGACCCAGATGGATTGCTGCTGGTATGTTTATTGTAACAATTAGTTATTTTATATCGTCTTTTCCTTATTTTATCTACGGAACCTCGAGTCAATTTAGTGATGCCGATTTAATGCAGCATGTAAATTCTACGGGGAAAGAATTCTGCGACAACCGTCCTAAAACTAATGAATGTCAAGAAAAATCGATAACTTTACCTGCTGTTATATGTTTTATACTAGGAAGTTTTCTTAAGGGATTTGGTTCGACAGCATTTTATACAATTGGAACACCTTATCTTGATGATAATGTAAAGAAAAAAAATTCACCTCTGTATCTGGGTGAGTACATTTTAACATACTTTCTCTTTTATCCATGTTAATAATTAATAAATAATTAATAATTTTTAATATTACCATGTACTTTTAAACTATTAATTTTCTATTGCCGAATAATTGAGATAATTAATCCGTTATTGTATTTTTAAATAAATAATAGTTTGTCTGAAAATTTTATAAAATAAACAATTGAAAATTATTAATAAAAGATGCATTGATAAAAAACAAGAACAAAATAAATTATTAATCTCAGATAAATAAATAATGTGTGTATACACACATATATATATATATATAACTATTTACTTATTTATTTAAACGTCTATTTTTACTATTCTCCAAAAATAATTTATTTTAATTGAAATAACAAAAAATATTTATTAGCATTTAAAATATTTATATAACAAATCGAGCTGAAAGATAGATAGATAAATTTCGCGAATATAGAGATAAATAATCTATATTATCGTCTACTTATATTTTTGTTCTAAAAATAAACAATAACGTAGTATAAAATAATATAGCAATGGCAACAGAAATAAATATGGAATTAATAATAAATACTTTTATACATAAAAAATAAACTTAAAAGTTTTTTTTGTATCATTCCCTAACGTGACTTGACCTAATTTTTAATACAGTACTTTGATTAGTGTGCCTACTTTTACTATTATTACACAAAATAAAGTACTATTTTTTAAAATTTAGTGTTAGTACTAAGCGAAGCCTTTTAATAATTTTTTCGTTAAAATAACCTGTTTAAACTAAATATGGGTTATTGTGTTTTAATTCCAAAAGTGCAACCAATGGCCAAGTGGGTTCGCACCTCGAAACCAGGCTGGCCGCGTGGAGTTTTCCGGGTTTTTCTTCACATATCCTAACACTTAAATAGGGACATAAAAAGTCCTCCCTTGATAGAGTCCAAATGTTACCTTGCCTTATCTTAGTGTTTTTCAACGTTTTTCTAACAGTGGTACACTAACTTGGTAATTTTTTTATTGCGACACCCTATTTCTTTATCACTGTAGAGTTATTGGATTTTCGTACTTTTAGTAATATAGTATACGTAAGAAGTATCCAGGGGTTGAGCGGGCACCTTTTCTTTTGCTCCTTAGTGGGCCCCTTTTACTATGTTTTCTTTGAATAAATGGCATAGGTCAAATGCTTATTAATAATAATAAATAGTCTTAAAGATTTTATTTTTGTTAGCAAAAATAACGTTAATTTATAGGGGTAAGACCATTACGAGCTCTAAGATTTTTCCGAGCCAGGGAAAGATATCTAGCTTCCTCTTTTGTTGGCTCTGGAAGTGTTATGGCGCTGCTCAGCATTATATTTCGCGGTATCCTTAAAGTCTCGTTGTGGCGTAGTAGTGTGCAGTGGTAACCCCGATTGAAAACTATTGCCTTATCTCATCAAAACAAAACCAATTCTAAGAGTTGAAAAAAAAAGTAAAAAGTAATTCTTAAGGGAAAAACATACCTTACTTTAACTTATTTAATCGAATTTATTCACAGACATTTTGTTAATAGAACACAAGAAAAACTTCATGATTTATTATTAAATCTATAAATAATTTATTTATTTATTTTGTTTTTACAAATATTTCAAGCTAAGTCGCAAGGTAAATGACGGCTTTCTCCGTTTAACAGCCCTTTTTGATATTTTTAAAAGCTAAAAGTATATCAAAGACGAGCTTTATATGCTTATAACTTTAATTTTTTATTGTTTTATAACTTTTCTATTATGTTTTAAAATCTTGCAACTTTTATTTTTGATAAATTCTCTATAATTATTTTTTGAAAATTGCTTAAAGTAATAAACTAAATTTTAATTTTATCCTTAACTGATACGTGTAAAAATTATAACATAATTTTAATTTAAAGAAATTTGTTCATGAACTTTTATAAACAATAAAAATAAATTTAAGTTTTAGTTCATTATGATAATACATATTGCCTATAATTACACAAGTTTGCAAGCAATAACATGTTAAAGAATTAAAATTTTCTTTAATATTTTTTCAGGAAAAAACTCTCTAGACTTTTATTATGTAAATTTACACAGTTCGTTTAAGAATAACTCTTAAATAAGTAAAGTAAAATAAATAAATTATTTAATTATAGTAAGAAAATTAAAAAGAAATTAACCGATCTAAATTCTTTTAGCTTCATAAACACGCAACACAATGCAGTCAAATCACCATCTATCACTTAATTATTTAAAAAAATGTATATATTGAACTTTATCTTTAAATATATAACAGAATTTCTTATTTATTAAATGTCTTATAAATTTTTCAATTCTCTCGGATATGTAAAGACGTTATTAATTAAAATATTTAATATCTTAAATTAAATATTAATTAAAGAAATTTTAAAAATTAATTACTTAAAATACAATAACAATTTTTATTAAATTTTTAATTCAATCAGCATAGCGATGAAGAATATAGTAATTTTAATGTTTTTCTATTCTTTATTTAAATATTATTAAAATTATCTTAATTATAAGAGAAGCTGAGACCTCTCAACAGCTTGAACACAGTTGAGAGGTCTCAGCTTCTCTTAATAAGTTTACTTTCTTGAAATTTGGATTAATTTTATGAATTTATATTATTAATACAACAAAACTCAGGCTTATAATTAAATTAATTATACTATCATTATAAGCAATAATTTATTTTGTATGTTGAAATGTTTAATATTATATAAATTAAATTTACCACAGTTAAAGCTTTTAAATATCAAAAATCATCATTACATATTAAAATACGTAAATTATTNTTATTCCTTTTATATTATTATATGTTCCATCTTTCCAGTTATTTGATATTTTCTTGTAATATCTCTATAAAAACTCATATAAAACTTCGTTTTTTGAAAACAGTAACTGTATTACTAATTATAAAAAGATTTATTGCTATCTTAATTTAAAACTTTATTTTTCTATGTCAAAAGTTTAACAAATTGTTACAAAACCGGATTCAGAAGACTATTATTGCGATAACATCAGTAATGAGATATATTGTACTTTATAATATTTTAGAGAAATAAATATTGTTTGAGTATATAAATATATAATTTCTAAATGATAATATACACGTATATATTATATTATATCTTGAGAATTGTTTATTGTAAGAAATGTAGTGGGTGGTATCTATTTTCTGCAACCTGAGTATATCCTAGAAAAATTATCTTCTTAATCCTATTCTAGTAAAAAAAAAAGGCAAGTACTTTAATTATGGTGGCCATTCAGGTAGTCATGCGAGACGAAATGTGGAACTATAAATTAAACGCTAAAATTAAACCTTTTTATCTCCTCCTTCTTTTGTAATACAAATCGTAACACTTTTCCAGACAAATCTATAATCCACTTTGGCCAACACCATTATTTTCAAACTTTTTTTTTATATATAAAACTCTATTTTCAACATGTATTTTATGAATAGTTCTCAGATTCTAAAAGACAAGTTATCTGTTTTAAAATTAATGGTTTTAGTTGAAAACTATTATTTTAAACCAACTGCAATTTTGTTTTTAACAAACAAAAACTAATTTAAAAGAAAATTATAAATATACTTGACCAACGTTACTCAACCTTTTTAAGCCTAAGGACGAATAAAATGTCTGAAAAATTATACGGACCACTAAGCTATGTACGCCTAATATTTTTAAACTTATGCAGGTATTACCAACATTTGGGACATACTGTGCCATTTATAAACAATAAATCTGAAAGCATGTTTTGAATACATGTGATTTGTTTCCATATGTTTCCAATTAATTAAATTGAAAGTAAACTGTTAAAAATGAATCGTTATTAAAGAAAGTTTTAACCTTTCTTAATTTTAAGTCTGCCTGCGGACCATCGTGGCAGACTACAGGTTGAGACACGATGTGCTAGAACCATATTAAAAGTTTGGTAGTTTTAACATGGAAAGCACCGGGTATATATGTTATATATTATCCCTCTGACCGATCTGGACCAAATTTATCATAGTCATTTCCCAGAATCTCATATAGGCGAAAAATATAGGCTACCACTAAACCAGGGCATCCTACTTTCTGCCATGGTTTCATCCCTTTGACACTTTGTAATAACATAACAATGATAGGTTAAATAACCTTTAATATTTGTCTTTAATTACTTTTGGCCTGATAACGCCGGGCATATTTACTGTACAAGTCGCACCGGAATGTGCTAGCACATTGCATAGAAACTCAGAAATTTTCGTATGACTATTTATTTAAATCAAATATTGTGGATATTTCAATTTATAAAAGAGATATTAGTGTGAAAAAATCCTTGAGTTTCCTAAAATTCGACCATTTTTCATTGAATACAAAACCGAAAACAGAAGACAAAAAATGGTTGCTAAGTAACTCTACCTGGAAAAAACTTATATTTTTAGGGATTATAAAAAGTTATACATTTTTTATTTTAAATTTTCGGTGACATATTATTATTTATTATGACTCACGAAGAAGCTTATATATACTGTATATATATTATAGATTAATCTAGTTTCTTCTTATTACAACTTTTTAATAATTTTAATTATTTTTTATTGGAAGTTATTAGAATAATGTAAGTTTTTTGTAGTTTTATGATTATTAATTTTACTTTAGTACACTAAACACTAAACCAGGATTTAAAAAAACGATTTAAACGAGCAATTATTTATTATTACATCGTTATAATGCCGGGTTGCAATTTTTAATCATATTTTTAATTTATTCGATTTAAAAAATATGTTCTCCATCTCAAGTTTGTAGTGTCTTACCCCTGTACATCATACACTTCCTAATAACAATACAGTCATGCAGGACATCTATGTAACATCATTCAGGTAAAAATTTGAATTTAATTCACGTGATTTTTGGTCTTAATCGGAACTTCGTATATAGTTAATCGGGACCTTCTCCCCCTAAGCTTTCCATATCCAGTCTCGAACTTTCATCTACCTAAGAGCATTCTCGAAATTAAAGAAGGACAGACAGTCAGACGGACGACAGTGGAAATTTATAGTTCTACAATTTTTTAAATTGAAGCCCAAAATTATGATAAAAAGTAGAGATTAACTTTAAAAATTAATGCTTTAATTTTATGTTGAAGATGTAAATATTATATAAAATGTTTCTCTTTAAAACTGTTTTTTCGTTTTTTAATATTAGATTAATACATTTGATATAACTAATTGATATAAATTTATAATTCATATTAATTAGATCTGGACTTTACAGAAAAGCATCTATAGAACATTTTATACTCTATTTTCAATCGACTATCAGTTTTAACAATCTGTCTGCAAATTCAACAATATCAAGTTTATAAAATAATTAAAGTGAAATTTAATGTTTTGTTTTATTTACTTTAATTTCACAATTCAGTTTCATTTTATGGAATTTTATGTGACTAAATAGTATATATGTTATCGTTATAAGTACTTTCTCATCTGTTTCTACTCATTCAGTGCCGGTTCCATTATCGAAATGAATTATTGTGCACTTTTTCTCTTTTGAGATCATCAAATTTACGAGAAAAAAATTATATAATGCACTTAAACCCTAGGTATACTTTTTAATATAATAAAATACCAGAAAATTTAGGAAAAGACAGCATTTTACGATGCTTCGTTGTTTGAGATAATCGACGATAAAAATTTTATTACTTTGTAATCATCTCTCTTTTTATATATCAATAATATTAAAATTTAAGCTTTTTTCATATTATTAATAGTATGAAATAATTGTAAATACATAGAGTAACCCAAAAGTCAGTTAACTGATTCTGGAATAATAATACGTAGCTGTTTTAACCCGTTTTTGCAAATAATATTAAAAAAATATTACTCGGTTAATTGACTTTTGAGCCACCCTACACTAATATAATTTGTGGGTAATATTGCAGAAGTAAATGTGTCTTTAACTGGTTAAATATTTAAATAATATTGATTAAAGTGATTCAAAAAATAAATTTAATCAAACTAATTCTTATTAGAATTTTTTATATGTACTATTTTTATCTTTCTAGCAACTTTTAATAATTAATATGAATAACAGATTTAAATAAATAAAAATTATATACATTAAACACATAATTATTAAAAGAAGTTTATCAGGATTTATAAATATTAATTATAAATAACATTTTTAAAATTAAAATTAATATAATTAATTGCTTTGATTAAAGTTTAATTAGTGTATTTAAAAATGTGTGTCGCCATCTAGTAGTAAAAATATTTATAAATTTCAAATAAAACTTGACCATTATTTCTGATTTAATTTATGTAATTTTAATTTTAAAGTTCTATATTAATCAATAGTTTAAAATGTCAATTTATTATCATAATTTAATTATCTGAAAATATGCAGGAATTCTTGCTGCACTTAGGCTGATAGGATTAGTAGTTGGTTATATACTATCGTCTATCTGTTTAAAATATTATGAAAATCCTTTAGGTAAGTAAACCATGAACAATTTTACATATAAATGAAAAAATATAATTTTTAAGTATTAAAATATCTTAAATAATATCACTGACTTTTTTAGTGGATCCTGGTTTTGACAGAAATGATCCCAGATGGATAGGAGCTTGGTGGATAGGATTTCTTGTTTTAGGTGTACTTTTATTATTTTTTACGTTTTTATTACTTTTATTTCCACGCGAAATGAAAAAAAGCAATCAAGAAAATATAAAACTAACTACCAGCATCACATCCGTTAAAGGTTTGTACAGTTTAACGAAACATATGTAAAATATATAAATTTTGTAATTAAAATTTGAATATTTCAGACTTTTCGCAAGCTTTGAATCGTCTCGTAAAAAATCCATTTTTAATATGCCACATTTTAGCAGCAAGTTGCAGATATAACAGTATGTTAGGTTACTATATAACAGTGCCAAGATACGTGGAAACTCAATATGGGAAAGCTGCTTCCGAAGCTAATTTATTCAGCGGTAAGATTTGTTAATCAAATTACACCCGGATTTAAGAAGATAAATGGATTTTTAATTTTTATAGGACCCATTGGAATTGTTGCAACGCAGATTGGAATTATTATTGGGGCTATAGCCATTCATAAATTTAGACCAAGAGCTAAATATCTCGCTTGTTATTTACTTGCTGTCGAATTTTTCAGCTTTATTACATTTCTAGTCGCAATGCTTCTAGGTTGTCCTGGTCTGACAATGCCTGATACAACTTTTTTAAATAACAAGTACGTTTATACACTACAAAATAATCTTATACATATTTATACAGTGTCGTAACTAGCTGCTCCGTACAAGGTTTTATTTTTGAGCATGAAGGGAGAAATAATAACAACAAAATATGATAAAATAATTGTTTATAAATAATTTTTCGTATAGAAAAAATATACAAGATCATTCACATATATTTTTAAAGGAAACTATTATTAAGTATACTTGACTATGTCATTTTGAGGCCTTTATTTCATGCCTTGTGCCTGCACCCGTCTAGATACGTCACTGTATTTATATGTACTGTATGTATAAATGAAGTATTATATTTTGTATTCTAGACTAGAACTTCAGAATACGTGTAATGCAGGCTGTCAATGTACAACGAGTGTTTTTGAACCTGTATGTGCCACTGACGACAAATCTGTATATTTCTCTCCATGTTTCGCTGGTTGCACTTCATTTAATGGAACAGTTGAGTTATTTTAATGGATTTACGTGTTTACTTGTCTTAATGTCTTTAAAATGTCTAATTATTATCGTTTAGGTTTTTACGGGTTGTAAATGTATCAAGGATGGATTAGAACAAATTGCAAGAAAGGGATATTGTTCTAATAAATGTAACATGATTACTCCATTTATTTCTGTGTTTGCTACTGGTAAATTAGTTTCATCGACATCAGCCGTCGTACAAATATTGCTGTTATTCAGGTTGCTATATCTTTGATAAATAATAAATAAATATGTTCAAAATATTACGAATTTTTATATTATTTCAGATGCGTCGCTAAACGGGATAAGTCATTAGTAATGGGTGTTATGGAGACCATACTAAGCGTAATTAGTGAGTAAAGTTTATTTTGTTTTTTATTATTCTAAAATCTCATTCTGAATAAGCTACAACTAACCTAATAATGTATTTTCAAATCACATAAAAAATTATCTAAAATTAAATGTAATTAGGCTTATTGGATTACAATTTTCATTCCCATTATCGTCCGTCTGTCCGTCTATTCTTCGTTAAACTCGAGAACGGAGTTAGATAGATGCAAATCGAGACCAAATATGAAAATCTTAGGGGTCGGAGGCCCCGATTAACTATATACGAATTTCCAGTCTGGAACCGAAGTCATGTGATTTCAATTAAATTTTTTTATTCAATTAATTATTTAATTTAATTTTAATTAATTAATTAATTAATTAGTTTAATCTTTATTTAAATTAAAATATAATTAAAATTTCATCCAGACATTGTGACGATGTCACAATTAGTAATGTGAATTTTTTGTGTAGAATATAGATAATTCTATTTTTTAATGAAAGCCATAAAAATGAAAAATGGACTTTTGTAAGAATTCTTCCAAAAATATTAATTTAAATAGCTGAATTACAATAACGACAAATTAACAAAAGGTATTTATTATTTGTCTTTGTATATACAGTAATTTTGAATGTTATGTTAATTATCCTAATATCATTTAAGCATTAAAAGTAAAAGATAACATTTATGGAAAGTTTTCTTTTTATGAAATTTCCTATTTAATATTTCAATGGATGGGATTTAACATAAGAGATTTAAAGTATTCAAATAATTTCCTTGTTAACTAGGTGTAGCAAGCTCTGCAATTTTCGTCTATAGTTTTTTTTTTTTAATAAATATTGTTAAATTAGCTGTACCTTGTATTTCCTTTGTCTAATTTGTCAATTGTAACTTTAATTGCTTTCATTGTAGCAATTAAAGAAGTATCAGAAGTAATATCAAAAGTAAACAGAGGAGAATTTGCCTTATATCGTTAAAGTTAAAATATGTAGATAAACATAACGTAAAATAAAGTAGTAATAATAATAACATAAATTGACAAAATTATTGTGACAACGTCATAATACCGGGCTGCAATTTTAATCATACTAATTTAAATTAATATAAACCGGAGTCCTGGAAACCGTAGGGTCCGGATATCTCGATCAATTTAAATTAATCGGAGTCTCCGGACTCTAAGGTTTCCATATCTGATCTCCGTTTTCATCTATTTTACTTTGTTCTCGAGATTAACAAAGGATAGACAGACAGTGAAAATCCTTAGTGTATAGTCTGCAATTTGAAAATTGCAGCCTAATACACTAATTATAACGTTAAAAACATATCGAATTTTGTAGGAATCTATTAATTTTATAACAACTATGTAGTGTATTTAGAAAACACGTAATTGCATTACATGATTCGTTTCCAATTCTAAGAACCATTTAAAAATTTCTTGGCCAATTTACTCATTTTTTAAAAATATTTAATCCATTTAATTTATTTTTCTGCCAGTCTTAATTACAGGAAAAATCATTCTTAGGTAAAGTTTTAATTGAATATTATTTAATATTGAGACCTTCACATTTTTCAATATAAACATTTTGATGTATATATTTTTCCATTACTTTAAAAATAATGTATTTTTCTTGTATCAAACATTTATTTATTTGCTTAAATATTATAAACTTTTTGGGATATTTTATACATTTTATAATAAAAATTTTCATTTATTTTATATCAAGCAAATGCTTTATATTTCTAAAGAACTTATAACCCATTTTAAATTATTTCTAATAGGTTTTATTCCATATCCACTTATATATGGAGCAATTGCCGATTCCGCTTGTATTGTCTGGGAGGAAAGTTGTGGTAAAACAGGAAATTGTTGGTTGTATCATCCCGATAAATTTCGTTATCATCTTCACGCTACTACTTCCGTTTTCATATTTTTTGGTGTTATTTTCGATTTTGGAATGGTCTTGCTTAGCAACAGAATAAAAAATGTCTATGAAGAAGAAAGAGAAGAAGAAGAAATTACACGAAATAATGTGAATATATTTGATAATATGCTACCTCCACTTAATGATGAAAAGAAAAATATCACTACATCTTTATGAAAAGAAAACAAAAATATTTTAAATCAAATCATTTGATTTAAAATAAAATATGAAAAATAAGACATTACATTTTCATTTTTTTTTAGTAAACACTTTTTGATTATTGCATTTGTAATTTCTCTTCCAAATGTATTATATTTTACGTAATCATCTTTATGTTATAATTTAAATAAATTTAAATTTTACTGAAATATAATGTTGCTTATTATTATTATTATTTTAAAATTTAAATATTTAAATTTAAAACAAAATATTCAAAATTTACAATTTATTAATACATATTTTTATTTAAATATTACCAAACAAAATTAGTGTTAAAAAGTATATTTTCAATTGCTCGTTTATTATAATGAAGATAAATATTATGTGACTGGTCAGAAAAACAAATTCAACCAATTAATAATTTATCTTTCAAATATTGTTAACCTATGGTATTAGAGATCTGAATTCAAAGGAAGTGTTTACGTAAAGCTGTACGGTTCAGACCATTGTATTTCATCTCTCATCTATTCTAGTCGACTCAATTCGTGTTAGGTTCGTCTATTATAGGAGTAATTAGGGCCAAACAGGACACAATGAGCTGGATTGTATAGTTGTATAAATTAATTAATCAGTTACAATTTGTCAAATTTGATTTTATATTTATATAAATCCTATTATAGATATATAAAGATTTTATTTATGAAATACACTACACTACATTACAAACACTAGTTTAATTAATTACATTAATATATAATATTTTATAAATCTTTATATATAATTTTATTAATCCTTGCATATTGGAGATTGATAAAAATATGGAAAACGAATTTTAAAATTTTTGTATTCGAATGGCCCTTATGATTAGCGTAAGGTGTTCGAAAGTACTTTGACAAAATATCGGACTGGTCTTATTTTTTGGTTTCTTTATACATAATATTAATATTTATAAAAGCATTCAAAATTTTTAATGTAATGTTTGAATCTGAAAATTTCAAATTCTATAAATTTTTGAAGTTTATAGTAATTTTTCTTATAATTTAGTATAGAATGTAGTAACATTCTATGCTAAATTACAAGAATAAGTTAAATCTTTTTAAAATATTCGTTAAATCTTTATTAAAATACTATGTCAAATATTAATCTATCGTTTCCGTAAATATCGGGTTATTGCAAATGAAATGGCCGATTTTTACTTCAGACTTCGAACGTTTATTCATTTAATTTAAAACTTACAAATTCAATCAAAATTGTCTCCACCAACATTAATACACTTTTTCCAATGTAATAGAAATGCATTAACGCCAATTTGATAGAAATCACGAGAATGAGAAGCCACAAAAAGTTATTAAAGGTACTTTTCCTTGAAGACTTTCCTTGCCAAAAAACTGTTCAAATACATATTTAAAAAAAATGTAGTCTGTTGGCAGAAAGTCTAGAGAATAAGGTGGATGGGAAAGAATTTCATTTGAATACTTTCATTTTTGTGAAGAATAATAAAAGAACTGCAGGTCTCCAAATGATGCTCCTTACCTCTCTCACTGAGTTCGTGTGGTATCTAATTGTCGATCTTCTTGACTTTCCCTAACATGTTTATATGTCGAGAAATGGTTGGATAATGCCCAGTATGTTCAACCTTCCCGCGATTTCCCGGACAATCAGGCGATGTTCTGATTCAATGATGTTCTTCAATTCTGATTTTTGAATGTATTCCCAGAATGAAATTTTTTGAACCAATGCCTAGTGGCCTGCTCACACACAGCAGGCCACCAGGCATTGGTTCAACCTTCACCAAAAGTTTTATTGGTATTTCGGATTGCTTCGACTGCATTATTTCCCTGCTTATACTGGAAAAAGAAAATGATTCAATTTCCTTTTTTCCATGCCGTCAGAAAAAAGAACTCTTAAACATGTGGAACTCACAACATAAATGAGATAACATTTTTAAATCACATATTACATGTGTTCTCTTCCAATTGCAAACATACAGCACTGTTCACACGAAAAAAAAAATTGAACAACAAGGCTGGAAAGTTTTATATATAATGCAACGTTTGTCTTGTTAGTTATAATTTTATAGGTATGAACATTAAAAAATTTTTATTATTTAGATTATTCTCTTTTTCTTGAGCTGTATCTAAGGGAAAACGGCTTCCTTTAATAAATAATATACAGTAACCCAATTCTCGTTTTCCTATATTTTTCTATTATCATAATTGTTTGATAAATCTTAAAATTCTGTTATATGAAGGATTTTAAAAAACAAAAATAATTTATAAAACTAATTTAGAATCATCTAAACAAATGGTCATTTAAATAAACGTAAAGGCTTTTATACAGTATATTAAAAATTTGTTGATAAAAAAAATCCAGTTTCATTTAAAATAATCATTTTACGTTAGAAAAATTACATAAAAATTTTGCATATTTCAAAACTGATACTCGTTACATCTTAATCAATGCAGTGCAATATAACAAGTTTATACATTTAGTAAACATAAATGTATCAAAATTGATACATGATAATTATAAACAAAATTAATAGGCTACATACAATATAACTATTTTGATAGAAGGCTGGAATTTTGTGTGAAAGTAATGGATTTTAGCCTGGACAATCTGTAAAGATTTCACTAATTTAATTCTCTATTTAATCGAAAATTAAATTAGTCAAATTTTTTTCCATCAAATATGCCATATATTAATTTTTTACAAGTTTATTTATAATGTTTATAAATTTTTATAGTATAATCTTTAATTATTAACAAATTCTTAATCATAAAAATAACTAGATAGATAACGAAAAAAGGCGTTTTAGAATAATAAAAAGTAAAAATTTATAATAATTATATACTAAAAAATTTAAACCTAAATCTTATGTCTTTAAATTATATATATAATAATTTATCATTTANGTCCTTTGCCTCTTTTTCCCCGCACTTGGATCTATAATCCTTTGATTTACAGCTCCAGCTTTATTTAGTATTTCTTCCAACGTTGCAAGATTTGGCTAATTGGACCAAATGTGACTACTTTTTTTTACTTTACGTAAAAAATATCATTTGGCGCTTTGGCTACTTTTTCGGCTACGTGTTATATTTGTTGTTAACGGGAGAAAATAATAAATCCGATAGCAAAAGGGATCACATTATTCGAGATTTTGTAAAAATAATAAATTTAAAAAATGACAGGAAAATTATTTTATTTTTATTTAAAAGTCGATATTCTTTGCTTTCCTTATTCTTGTATTCTAACACACCAGAGATTAAATTATAAGTTATTTTACAAAAAAAGAAACCGTCATCTTTATTGGGCTTCAATTTGAAAAAACTGAACCTATAAATTCTCACTATTGTTCGTCCATCCGTCCGTCCGTCTGTTTTTCCTTAATCTCGAGAAAGGAGTTAGAAAAATGAAATACGAGACCAGATATGGAAACCATATGGACTGGAGGCCCATTAAGTATATACAAGTATGAACTTCCGATGCAAACCGGAGGTTACGTTATTTCCATTCAAATATTTTTTTCCTGAAAGCAGTTAATAGATGACCGGTACGATTCTATTGTTAAAAGAAAACTATGACGTATTGAGGCAAGACACTACTAATAATTTGAGGTGGAGTAGCCTGGCATTGTGACGATGTCACAATAAATAATTGTTTCTACTTTATTTATTCATTTCCAATGTGATTTTAATTTAAATGGGATTTTTGGCATATTGCCAAAGCACTCAAGGCAATAGTCTACTGCTCTCAGTACCCGGAATCAAATCTGGATGGGTCGGAAAACCGTAGGAATTTTTCGAATTATCAGAAATTATGGTATCCTGTAGGTCAGCCGAGCTTAATAAAAAAAACCTTTTTTCTTGTTCCCAGGCAAAAAAAAAGTATAAAAAATTAAATGGACATAGAATATAAATTTTGTTGATATGTATTTACTAAATAAAAATGCTTTAGCAATAAAAGTTAAAATATATTTACTATTTTCTTTCAATTGGAAATTTTTATACGTACTATTTAGAAATTTCTTCTAATTTTCATTTATAATCGATTATCAAAAATTTTTATCGTGATAAATGAAAATTTAATTTACACTTGTGAAAATCAAACAAGAAGCACCAAGATCCTTTTATCTTTAATCTCTCTCTATTTATCGGGATTAAGATGGAGCTTATTCTCCGAAGAGCCGGCCGAAGCTTTCTTGCTTGACCATACGAAATTACTCGCGAAGAACCTGGTGAAATACCTCAGGGAGGTCTTTTAAGGGTAACTGACCCCTATTTAGGCGTGAGAAAACTGGAAAACTCTGTGGTCAGCCCATCCTGGCGAGGCGCAAACCTACAACCGAACTACCAGTGTTCGGGAACGGAACCACTCGGTCAAGGTGAGCTTTTTACCTTTAACTTTAATGAAATTTAGTCTAAATAGCAAAGATTGTATACTGATAAAATGATTTTGCTTGATATAATAAAACAATTAGTTTTATTAATTTACCACTCGGTCGCTTTATTAAACGTGTTCATTGAAATTAATAGTAAATATTGTATATTGCACTGGCAACATATAGGAATTGTTTTTTGGTTTCTACTTATCGTTGAATGGCTGTTCTAATAAAAGGAAAGACGCAAGCAAAGCTAAACCATGTCTTATTAACGATTACCGAGGAGTTTGGAAAAACAGTATCACAGTTTTTGACAGTAGCGCGCTCTTTAAAGCGATTTGGTATCGAGTTGAAGAGTTATTTATGATTTCTTGAGAAACCGCCCTTCAAATTTGTCTCAGTTATGTAATCAATTACATATTAGTGGACAGATTAGCGCTTTAAAATTAACGCGATGTTTCGACATATTCTAGATGCGGTTTTTAGATGATGTAAAGCAGGGGTGTCCAACCCGCGGCCCGCGGGCCGCATGCGGCCCAAGGTAAGTTCCAATGCGGTCCAATAAACGTGTAAACAAAACCGACAAATGTTTTAATTTTTTATTATTTATTTATTT